TGTAATGTGAGGTGGGATTGTGGCAAATGTTGGGGGGGGGGGGGGGTACACAACATTCTGTTCTTTTTAAATAAACACCAACAGTTTATCATCTTTACTTTGATGTTGAATTTTATTCACTGGGAGAAAGAGCACGAACGGCTCTTCCCAGCGCATGTTGTTTTAATTTTAATGGTGATGAGTCCTCATTAAAGGCTCTGAGGGACATTTGAGTCCACGTGTCCACTGCTGCACGAGGAACTCCACGCGGGGCCGTTTCCCCTTCCACTCTCTGAGCTCTGCTGCTTTCTGTTGTGCGACATGAAAAATTAATTTCTGAGCGTTTAGAAGCTGCAAAACACAGAAAGAGATTATGACGAAAACTGCGTCACGTGTTCTGTAAGAACAATGAACAGTTCTTACAGATAAAAGAACAAAAATACAAATTATAAACCAAACGTCCTGCAGAACTTTCCGGAACCGTTTGTCTCCAGAGGACTGTCCTCACGTGGACCAGCTTCTTTCTCGTGGGAAAACGAGCCAGAACCCCCTGTTTGCTCTTTTATTATCTGCTGGGTCGTTAAAGGAACATGCGTTGGGGAGCTTTCACCCACACTTTACGCACGCTGGTGTTAATTGCGCGTCCTGAACAACGCGCGTGGGAACGTCCCAGTCCACCTTTTCCCGACAAAAGGGTTCAGTCCGGTCCAACCTCCCACCGACACCCAGCGCGTGTTTCTGCAGAGATCAGTTTGTTTAATTTAACACTTTCTAGATCTCAGTACCTGAAAAAATTAAGTGTATACTCGGTAATAATCGCCTTGCTGCATGCGCGCGTCAAATGACGCAAGGAGTTTCTTCAATGTGGATTTTAAGAGGTTCTCATGTTTTATTACCAAACGAACTATTCTGAATTTCAAATGATCAAGATTCAGATTATCTATAGGGTAACATGAAAGAAACATTAGAATAGCTCCTCCTCTCCTTCCTTCTCTTTTCATTAAAATAGTTTTGATGTGTGTGAAGCAAACGGTCAGCGGCAGCGCGGCAGCGGCAGCGGCAGCGGCAGCGCGGCAGCGGCAGCGCGGCAGCGGCAGCGCGGCAGCGGCAGCGGCAGCGCGGCAGCGGCATCAGCATCAGGCTGGTGTGACTGTGGGAGCGCGTCCTCCTGAGTGTTCCCGTCCAAAGAATGCGGCTCACGAGGCTTGATCTTAACTTTAGTGCCTGTTAAAACTAATACATTGTTACGTGTTTGCCTGTGAGGAGGAGCGGAGCCTCCCCAACACCCCCCCCCCCCCATGCCCAGACACGTCTGTTCAATTGATGCAAGCTGACAAAATACTTTATTTCACGAATAATAGTTTATTTGATGATTTTTGAGCTTCGTAGAAAACATCCCCCCACCACCCACACACACACACACACACACACACACACACACACACACACACACACACAGCAGATCATCCAGTTTATATCTGTCAGAGTCAGGAAGGAGCTGCAGGTCTCAGAGAACTCCAGGTCTCCACAGATCCGGAGCCTCTGACTCCCTTTGGGTCTTAAAACTGAATCCACAGAATCAAAGCTGAACTTCCCGAACAGAATCGTGAAATTAAAACTTTTGTTTTAAGGTTTGTATAAAAGAGCAAACTGAAGTCATCTTCTGCTCCAAAGGTCTCAGATCTCCTCGAAGCTCTCATCTTTTGGATCTGACGCGTCAGTCCCTCGCGTTGCCATGGTAACGAGGCGACGAAGCGCGCTCGTTTGCCTCACAGCTTCCTGCTGCTTTGGCGGACGTTTGTCGCGTGTAAAGTAAAGAGGCGCACGAGCCTTTGACAGCGTGCAGGCGCGTGCTGTTCGCACACGC